GGGCCGCAGCGCGCCGACTCACCTGCGTGGCCGCTAGTCGTGCCCGCACCTCCTGCATCACGAAGGGCTCCAGGCCGCGCCCTGCGGTACAGAAGAACCGGGCGCCCCCCGCCGGCCCGGACCCGGGCTCTGCGCGCGCCGTCGCCATGGTGCTCGGGCGCGGCCCCGCGGCTCGGTCACGTGGGCGAGTGTGAGCGCTCCCGCACTCTCGGGGACGCGTGCGCGGCGCCACCTCCTGGAGCCGAGAGCCCCGGTCCGCCGCAGCGGCCCCTGGGGGTTCCTCGGTGAACTACACCTTTTTGATGATCTTGGTGACGTGAACCTTTCAAAGGTTGAGTCCTAAACTTCTTAGATCCTTCCATTTTGCAAAATTCTTTTTTTCTTCCAGACCGTTTTCTTTCTTTTATCCGGTGCCGTAGCTCATTCCAGCTTCTCTGCACTTTTGGGTTGTGACTCTCAGAGCTGCCTGGGGAGCTCAGGAGTAGATGGTGGGAAGGGTGGCAGGAGGGAGAGGCCCGGATGTACCCGCACTGCCCACTCGGCTGCAAGGGTGGGGCTGCAGCCTAGCGCGGGGCAGCAGCGTGTGCTTCCGGACGGGGTCACAGCTGGGCACAGGCCGAGGCCACAGTGTGTGCGCCCACTCTCCCCTTGCCTTTCCCTCTGCCTGCTTTTCGTGCCCTCCCTTCGGGAGCCTTGGCCAGGGAGGTCAGGCTGCTCTTGCTCCAGCTGGGGGTCATGGGCATTTGTTCACCTTTGGACCTGGCTGCAGTGGATCATACCCACCGATGCTCCTCACAAAATCCTGGGGATGCATTGGGATACATGGGGTTCTGACTTCTTCAGGGAGAAAATCGTTGGTTTTCTGGGAGAGTTACTTAGACTCCCCCACTCCCCGGCCCCCCGTTACTCACATTTTGTCCTGCGTCATTTGTTCTGATTATTAAAAAAAAGTCTCTACTGAAAAAAAAATCACAGGTCCCTGTAGATGAATTTAGCATATCCAGCTGTGATTTCCTCTTTGAATATTACATATTCAATGCGCAGGAAATTGGAAGTCAATGGGAACGATTGATTTTAGAGCAGACTTTTAAGTGGGGGTGTTTTAGGAATATAGGGCAAGACATTTGCTTCGGAATGTCCCCCTGTTTTGATGCCAGTGACAATTTCTTTAGTTCTGAAAAACACTCAGCACTCAGATATCAGAATGCAGGGGCTTTAGACTGCGAGCACCTCGAGGAGGGGTAGCCATTCGTCCTGGCATCTGCAGTGACGCCCTGGCTTCCACGCGGAAGTCACTGTATGCTGAATTGGGCAGAACATGATTAAATGGAAGATTGACACAGGAGGTCTCTCAGCTAAGAGGATTAAGCTATAACCACCACATCAGCAGAGGCCTTTTGGGGACAAGGATAAGGTAGTGAGACCAATCAGGTAGAAAATTAGGCCATTGAGGGGTTGGAGGACCCCAAACATAACCTCCTTTATGACTCTGCTTCCTTCTCTGTCTTCGTCATGCACTTAATAAATAATGTTTCTTACCCAGGGATAGTCCTGAGAACTTCCCGTGGGTCGAGCTTGCCACGCCCTCTCCGTGTGCTGGACGAGGCGAGTGGGGCTGATGACAGCATTGTCCAGGGAGGTTGAGACCCGGTGTTGTATACCAACCAATATCCACTGCCGGCTCCTTCAAAATGCCCGCAATTTCCCTTCTCCTAACCCAGCACATTGCTGCCTTTATCTGGAGCACTCTTCTCTTCTGTTTGTTTTTTCTTTAAGGCTAAGCTAGAATAACACACCTTCTGTGGTGTTCTTTCCTGCTTCTCTTGTCTACATTTCCTTGTACAGTATTTTACATCTTTGTCATTTATTCATCCGTGTGTATTACTGAGTGCACAGCAGTGTAAGCTCATATGACAAGGTCCCTGCCTTGGAGGCAGTGGTGATGGCTGGATGGTTGAGAGCGCTATGTAAAGGGTAGCGGTATAGTATGATGCATGGTGACTAAGGGAAGCACCTGGGCCTGCCACACAGCAGCCACTTAATAAATGACGTTGAATAAATGAACTTACTCTCTAGTTCAGTGAGCCTTTGTCTCTTCCCTATTTGATATTTGCCAGGTCTGGGGTATTGTCTGTCCTACATGGCCCAGGTCTTTAAGGTCATCAGGGCATAATCATGTAATCTAGATTTTATCCTCGAGGCTCATATGACTCAGAAATTAGCAACTTGGGGGAAGTGTCTTCCAAGAACTCATTTTGTTTCCCTGGAGGCACTTCAGGGATTTGTTATCTTCAAGGACAGCCTCATTAGCTGAAGGTCAAGATAGTGTTGCTAGGAAGGAGGCAGGGGTATCAGCTTCTGAAAGCCTGGCCTCTAGGTTATTTTTATCCAGTTCTGGGTAGGAACAGCTAACTTACTCTGCTTTTCTCCCTGTGATGTATAGTAGCCTACATCTCTTCTCCATGCATTTCTAAGCACTGTGTACCTATGCGGGACTCCTGCCCACACAAGCTCACAAAGCAGTAGACTCCTAAGCAGTAGAACCTTTTGTTGTTGTTAGAACTTCATTGCATTGTGACACTGTGGTAAAACCCTAGATGCAGACAAACAAACCTGTCATACAGTACATTCCAACCAAGTGGGAGAAAAAGAACATCAACATGTCTTTATGACTGCAACTTCAAACCATTTGGAAGAAAGCAACTTGTCACATACTGATCGTGAAAACCATTTATATGCATACAGTAGTCACCTGGAGTGATGGTTCTTTGAATGTACAGTCAGACAAGAAAATTCAGCAGAATACTGTTGATTAGCATATGTAAATACTGTCTTTAAAATGTCACTAGCTGATTAGTGTTTATATCACTCTAGGTGTAATGGAGCATCAAAATTCTAAAGATGCAATCTTTATGCACTGGTCTAGAGAGACAATTCTTTTTGCAGGTTATCTTGGTGTTACATATGACATGTGTAAAATTATTTTGATGCACAAATGCAGTCAAATATTTCCAGTACCTTTTATAAAAACTGTGCTATATATCTAATGCATAGTTCAAAACACTAGGCTCTTTGATGTCATTTTATTTGTTGAACTATATTTTGAGCCTATAAAATTGTATCTATATTTGAGAGACCGTTATAATGCCTCAGCTGGAAGAGAGTGGAAATTGTTTCCTTGATACATTTGTTGAGTGATCAAATGACCGAATCTGCGATTTTCTTCAATTTACTTGAATGAACTATATTTCGTAAATAAAAGTTATTTTCTTCTAGTAGTTATCTGCACCTTACTCACACTCCTGCTGCATTTGTCATTATATTTATATGAATTATTTTCCTGCAGAGATTCCCTTCTCCCTTTCTCTGTCCCTCCCTCTTCTTTTTCTCTTTCTTCCCTTTTTTTCTCCTCTCCTCTTTTTCTGAAATGGATTTTGCTATACTGCTTAGGCTGGCCTTGAACTCCTGGGGGTCAAGCAATTCTCTTACCTCAGCCTTCTGAGTAGCTGGGAGCACAGGTGCATGGCTCTTTTACTATTTCTTTGTCCAAAGAAAGCTTCAGAAATGCCCCAGGCCAGCGGGGACACCCATATTTTGATATTTTCCTGCAAATTCTAACCATTTCTAGTAGATGGTCATTTGTTTGCATATTTTTCAATGGAAAAAATCCTCCTTAAAACTGAAGCAGATGTGATCTGCAAATAAGCAAAAAGGAAAAAAAAAATCAAGAATTAGGTTTTATTTTTTTTTTTTTTAATAAAGATGAAGTGTCCTGTTTTATAGAATGGTATTTGCTGGACTAATCTGAGCTGTTTATTAGAACATTCACTTAATTCAGTCAACTTTTCTCCCTTTGAGCTTGGATAAAGGAACAAATGTATTATTGTTATGTATTTATTCATCTCTTTGTATATTTTTGTTAAAAGGTGATAATCCCTAGGTGTCCACAGACATTATGGACTGTTTTAAAAATCAATTTTTGCATTGTTGAATAGTTTTCCCTGACATATATTCATATACATTCAGGTTTCTAACAATTTTCTGTTTAAAAGTTTCAAATTTAGCAATTAAAAGTAGGGTGTATTTATAATCAATGCTGTAGTTGTTTACAATAAGTATGAGTTACTTGGCTAACCAGAAAAGCAGTTTAGCCTGCAGCCTTTGATATCATAAAAGCCTGCAGCCTGCTATACTGACCCAGGCACTTCTTTGATTGTTTCATGAAATACCTTCAGAATAGGACCTAATATTGTAGACATCTGTTATGGTTGATTCATGTGTCAACTTGAGAAGCTTAGAAGTTTAACTAAGCGACTCAGTAGGAGGTGTTCTCTGTAAATATCCTTATCCTGTGCAAGAGGAGGGCCCGGAGATGGTGTGAGTATTACCCTGAGTGGGGGTAGCCTGCTTACAATATAAGGGAGGGAAAGAGGCCTGCCCCCCACTTTGCTCTTGCTGATTTTGCTGTCTTCTGCCACCTTGAACTATTGTCCCTTACCATGTCACCCTGCCCTGGAGCCAGCTGACTATGCACTGAAACCACCACAAATTGTGAGCTAAAGAAAACCTTTTCCTTCCTTAATTTTGGGTGTCAGGTATTTTGTCTCAGCAATGAGAGGAAAGTAACAAGATAACAGCTAAGTTAGGTAGAAATATTATAGGCAGCCAGACAGAGCCAAGCCCTCAAGGGATTCAGTGTAGAAGATGAGAACTCATCCCAACTATGGGTGGAGGTACATTCATTAAAGGTCAGGCCTCAAAACAAAGATGGAGTGACTATACCTACATTCCCAGGGATAAACATTAATGATTGCTATTTGTCTTGTTACTTTTCTCATTGCTGACACAAAATACCCAGTACCCAAAGTCAAAGGAGAAAATCTTACTTAGCTCACAGTTTGTACAGGTTTTAGTCCATAACTAGCTGCAGGGCTGGGTGTCCTCGCAGAGGGGAGCAATTCATGGTGGGCAGAAGACAGCAAAAGCAACAAGGGAGAGAGGGGACAAGCCTCCTTCTGTGCCTTATATTGTAAGGAGACTACCTACCCTAAGGCAGGTGTAGCACTCACACCCTTAATCCCAGCATTGGACCACATATCAATCACAAACTCTAGATTGAGCTGCCCCCAAAAAGTCTGTCCACCCAGACTGCATGAGGCTTTGGTGGGACATCCAGACACAAATCATAACAATATTTTAAATAGGCATTAATCACCTGGGTGGAGGACTAAGACCTTGACCCAGCCTTTTCAGGGAAGGTCCTTCTTCTTTCCATGCGCGATTGCTATGGTACTCGCTTCCTCATTAGATCAATGTGACCTAAGTCACTATATTTGTAATCTTATTGGTTGACCATGGTTTTGTCCCACTGTATACCCACTTCATGATTCCCTACCTACCCTGTGATTTTGCTCTGTAAAACTTCCCCTGAGAAGTAGGTTCATGGGCAACCCCCTTTCTGGAGCCCCTTCTGTCTCTCTTAGGCAGAAGCTATCTTTCTTTCAATAAGTATTTCCTACTCTTTACCTCCATTGTGCCTTAGAAATCATTCTTCAATTTTGGGGAACACAAACTCGGCCATCAGACATCTCTAGCAGGTTGGGAGTTATATTTCTCTTACATCATTTGGAGGTCCTTATATCATTCTTATATCAATAATACTTGAAATTATATGATACCAGTTGAGCTTCTAGGCCACAGACAGATAATAATATTTTTATCTTCAATCACTGTGTGGCTCTGTTCCCTTGCCCTGTCACCCTAATCAACTTAGATGATGATCCAAATACTCTGCCTCATAAGCTCCAAAATCTAAATGCAGCCAAGTTGGGAAAAATAATATTAAAAGCTGGCCCTGGACTTTATTTTAGGTACAAAATTGTCTTTCTTTAAGAAAATTCCTTGGTGGAATTCAGCGAGGCTCTAAAGCTGTGAACCAAAGGAATGTGGATAATCAAACTGTTCTGCCTAAGGAGTCAAAAGGAGGTCATGAGTACCACCAGGGGAGGAGCAGAGGAGGGAATGTGGGGAGGACCTCATGTAAAGCTGAGGCTGCTGAGGATAAATCGCCAATGGGAGTCTCCATTGGCTGGTAGCTGATGAATTTATAAGTAGAAAGAAATTCAACACCCAAACTTAGTGGTTATAATAGCTACAGATTTGCTATATAGTGAATATACTTACATATAAATTTGAATTTTTCAGCTACTTTGGAAGGATTTCTGTGGTTGAAACTGCTGGAGCAAAGTATACTCATCTACATTTGAGTAGATTTCTCCTTCCTTAGAATAAGTTCTTCCGGTGTTTGAATCAGATTTCCCCATTTCTCCAAACAGTAAAATCTTAGTTATGTGTGTTCTTAACCATTGATAATGTAATATTACAAAGAACATGCTTTGTTCTTTTTAATGGTAAGTGGTATCATCTTCATATGGCCTTGTTATTCATCTGTGCTGTTTTTTGAGGGCATGTGCGATGTCTTTGGTATGGTAGCCACTTTGTAACCAGGAATCTCTAGGCAAAACAAAACGAAACAAAACAAAACAAAACACAGAACAAAACAGAGCAAGAAAACTCTTAACAAGTTAAGGAGGGAGAAACAGAAAATCGGAATGAGCCTGAATCCTTCATAACTTTGTTGAACTCTGGGACTGTTTACTCCTTTTTGGTAAGTAAACAATAAATGTCATTACAGTTTAATCCTCCAAACTTTCTGTTTCCTTTTTTTACAAAAAACATTCTGCTAGGAAACAAAAAGTATCCTGGGCTAAACTCATAACCTGGATACAGATAGATCTCCAAGATGAAATGGTTTTCAGGAAACCTGGTGGAAACTCCAAATCAATTTGCTTAAATGTATGACTATTATTATTATGAAAGTCTGTGCTATTTCCCATAAATACTCTGATGCTACCATCATAACTAGAGCAAGGTTGGGCATATTCTAATTCTTCCTGAATTTTATATTTGTATTTCCATATTTCTAGTGTGACTGTTAATCCTGGGGGTTAACTGCATTGGATTAAGGAATGAGTAGCAGATTAGTCAAGGGCACTCCTGAGTGTGTCTGGGTGTGTCATGGAGGTGCGACTTTGGTGCTAATGAGATCCTTCATCCATTTCTTTCTGGCACTCTTCCCTACTCTGCTTCCCAGCTGCCATGTACTAAGCAGCTTTGCTCCATCATTCCTTCCGCCATGATGTCTCTGCCTTGAAACCAGCTGACTACTGACTGAGTCCCCCATACCGTAAGCTAAATTAAACCTCTCCTCTTTTAAATTGTGGGTGTTGGGTATTGTGTCTTACTGATGGAAAATGTGGCTAATATATCTGGGCATGATAGAAAAACACATCTAACTTTAAAAATAACACTCATTCACTCTTTGAAAAATTACTTATTGCTTATCAGCTCTGTAGCAGGTGGTCTTAAGTAAGCATATGGGAAACATCAGTGAATAAAACAAGTATTTGGGGCTTAACCCCCTGTTTTAGGAGGCTCCAAGTGTAGCTCATTGGCAGAGTGTGCTTAGCAGATGCAAGGCCCAGGGTTCAACTCCTATAGCACACATGCAAACACAAGATATCTATCCTGGCTCATTTTGTGTTGCTATACATGACACCACAGACTAGATAATTTACACAGAAAATAACTTTGTTTCTTAGTGTTCCTGAGGCTTTACCTTCTAAAGACCCTACTTCCAAATACCATCAAAATAGGAACTTTGGGATTCAACGTCTAACATGTGAACCTTGGGGCACACATGTATAGACATAACACTGTGGCTTTGTATTCTAGTTGGATACAAGAGAGGTGAGAACATTATCAGCATACTAAATACACATGGGGTTTGTGAGGAGGTGAGAGTGATTTAGGAAAATAGAAGAGGCCAAGCAGGAGCAGGAGCAGGAGCAGGAGCAGGAGCAGGAGCAGGAGCAGGAGCAGGAGCAGGACAGAGCAGGATGTAGAGTCTAAAGTGGAGAAAGTAGGCCTCTCTCAGGAGATTTGATTTTTGAGACTTGATACATCTTTAAATACTTAGGTAGGTATATGTTATGGAAAATGAAATGATGTAGTATTAAGTACTAGATTCATTTTTGGAATAGGTAATATTATTGGGTTAGTAATATCCCTTAGTTATTGTGGGCTGATCAGGTCCACAGTCTCCTGAATGAGTGTATGGCAAAGGCTAAATAAAAAGAGGTGAATGGAATGATTTCAGAACTCTAGGATGATCAAAGCCCTCTCATGAAATTCAAGATTCTCTTGGGGCTAAGACCAAGACCTTCTCTGGGTGGCCTGTATTTATTTGGTTATCAGAAGAAGGGAGGGGAGTACTCAAGAAGGGGGGAATTATTCAAGGACTTCTCCAAGTAAGGTATTAAATTAATTCACACAAGAGTGAAATGCCTGAGGCTATAGTCTTTATCTAATTGAGATCAGATCCAGTTGTCATTGGCTCTGATATTGCCTTACCCTTTGAGGTTTTCCAGCTTCATCTGCCATTACAGGTTTTAGTAGGGATTAGTGACCCACAGAGGTTCACTTACTATGAGTCTGCTGTCCATCTCCAGACAAGGAACCTAGGCCTTGAACGGATTTACAAGTGAACAGGAAAAGCCAATTGATTAATTTAAGTCCTGCTCAGGACTGCTTCTTAGTGGTTGCCGTCATAATATAAGTGATACATGTTCTGCAAAGGGAAAATGAGGTTCATACCTGTTAACCACAGATAAAGCAGAGAAAATTGATCCTCAATTATGTTGCAATTACAATCTTCTTGTCTATCTCATATTCTCATTAGACATTTTACAGTGTATAACCTTTCAAAACCAAAAGATGGTTTTGTTTTCTGAAGTTTGAATTTATATAATTAAAACAATGACTTTTAAAAGTCATAATTGTGTGTGCTGTAGATGCTGGGGATATTTGAAAAGTTCTTTACATAAAAAATTTTTCACTTTCTATAGAAGATCTTTTATAGATTAATGAGCATGTGAGTTTCCTTATTGCCTTTGTGGCTTATTTATTTTAGGGCCCAGTAAATATTTAATGAATCATTGAAATAGTGGAATATGTTGGAAAAGTTGACTGTAATCATTTTTGTTCTTATAAATCAAGACAATGAAATCAAAGAAGTTAAATGACTTTCTCCATTTCAGCACATTTAAAAACAGGTCCAGTCTACATCCTGGTTTTCTGATTTAATCTGGTGATTACTTCCTACTTTCTTTTCTTTTTTATTGTGATAAGAACATATAACACGAGGTATACCCTCTAAGGAAATTTAAAGTGCCCAGTACATATTGTTGACTATGGACACCAGGTGGTATCCCAGATTCCCCAGCACTTCTCACCTGACATAATCCAGACTTCCAATTTTTCCTCCCCAGAGCACCACACAGTCATCACTTGACCCTGTTTCAGTGAGTCTGTTTGAGATATCTCCTGCAAGGGGAATCATATAGTGTTTCTCCCCCTATGACCAGCTTATTTCTCTTAGCACAGTGCCCATCAATTTGTCTAGGCCTGTTGCCAAGGGCAGAATTCTCTTGCTTGTAAAGGATAATTTGGATTTTTATTTATTTTACTAAGATTTGACATAGCAGGACATTGCAGTGGCAAGATGTTGCTCTCTTTGGAGACAGGGAAGAGAACAGCTGGTAGTGGCATTCCTCTGTCTATGTATGGCAAGTGTCACTACGCCTACGTTTGGCTTTCTTGCTTTGACAGACTTAAAAGCAGTTTTATGTGTTCCCAAATCCCACCAACTATGAATACAAAAAGATGAGAAAGAGACAGACATAGGAAAAGTCTTTCTGTTCCTCTGCTTTTCATGTTCCTCTGCTTTTAATTCTATTAATTGCTAAAGGTATTTATAAAAATAATACACATAAATATTAATTTTGAGGGAGTGGGTGCTGGGGATTGAATCCAGGGCCTCATGCATCTAACGCTTTATTTCTAAACTATAATCCTGGTCCATAGGTTAATTTGTATGTAAATTATTTTAAAAGATTTTAAAAATTATTTTTGTGGCAATTATGAAAAATTATAACCAAAATTTATTTGTAATCAAAAGGTTATTGTCACTTTAACATTAATGCTCTTTAAGGAGCTGAATGGCAAAATTCTTTACTAGGTAATCCTTGGCTTATTTTTCTACATAAAATTTTTTTTTCAATGTAGTTGGAGCGTAAGGAATAGAACAAACGTTGAAAACCGAAGAGAAGGCTATTCTTATTTGAAAATACCCACAAAGTGGTACATGGCTTTACTTTCAGTCAAACCACAGCAGTGTGTGTGAATCCTTATGTCTTCTTTAGCAGCTGATAATCAATCACGTGAGTTTACCTAAGGAAAAAAATCCATGCAGAATAACAGAAGTCTGTGGAGGTCAAGGCTTCCACAGGTGTGGTCTAAGGCTGATTGATGTTTTCTGCATATGTGTTCAGCCCCGTTTGGTATTGTGAAGTGAAAGGAGATTGAAAAATGTTCAATTTGGACTGCTTTGTGTTCTGGTTTTACCCCTGAGTTATTTTGATGGCCTTCTGGTTTGAAGTTTTATGGCATAAAATGAAAACTGTTTATTTCACTCAGGCTTCAGCATCTGACAGGCAAATCATCCAATCTCACATCCTGGATAAAGTGTAAACAGGAATGTGATAAGATACAACCCAAGGAACAAGTTTGAAAAATAACAGTCACCCCTGGAAACAGTGTTTCATTTTTTAATAGGCCTTTTACTGTTTATTCTATTTGATTGCATTAGCTCTAGCAGTGCTGACAGAAATGAGATTTTATGATGTGATGTGACTTTTTTTTACTGTTTAAAAAATATTTCATTAAATAAATGTCAGAACAAAATCAGTGTTAAATTCCAAATTGTTTGGTGTTTCTTCTATGATTTTGAAAATGAACATAGATATATGTTTTGCATGCAGTTAGCCCTAGGTCAGTAAAAATGGTCAGAAAACAAAGAAAATCTTTTTTCTTATCTGTCTGAACAGAAAATGAATCAGTAGATGGAGTATTAAAATGAAATTGTTCTAATTATTTTTCTTTTGGAGTTATAGTATAATTTACTTAAATACAATTTTTAACACAACCAGTGCAATATTTGGCAATAATAGTAATACAATTTAAACTATTGATTTTTCAAAATTTGTTTGGAAAATGCTTCTATATCATTCCCTGAATTGAAATTATCAATTCTGGTAATTACTGACTAGACAAGCTACTCTATAAAGCACAAGAGGAAAAGAGTTTACCAGATGCTGGGTTTAAAAGTTTCCAGTGATTACACAAGAGGTTGCCACGTTTTATATGAAATCCCAGGTGAGATGAAACCCATGATATAATGCTAACTGAATCAAACAGTACTATATATAGTACTGTATATATTAGATGACTATGACAGTACTGTGTATATAATAGATAATATTCCCAATCTCCAAAAGAGAAACATAGCCTTGTAAGGTGCATCACCTAAAATGATGAAGTATTCTAATCTTCCTCTCTAGGTTTCGCTTGTTACAGAGATCATGGTGATTCTTTGAATTTGGATGTCCAAATTAAAATGATCACCAGAGATATGTAAAATTAAATTTCCTCCCAAAGTGTCATTGGTTACATATGCCCCGTCCAAGTTCTGCTCTTGAACCAGTTCTT